TGCATCTGAACTATTCTCTTTGAGGCCATATCCCACCAATCTCACTGGAACGTCTGGACGAAGGGTAGGTCTGGAGCAGATTCTAATTTCTACCCTAACCTCAGTGGCTCAAATGTAATAATAACAATGCCAGTAGTAATAATAGTAAACAACCACCTGAGGAGATGGGTTAAGTGACCTTGTTCAAAGATTTTAGTTTTGCGATTTGTTACTTTCAAAATAAAATCAAACTAAATAGTCGACCTGTGGTCTTGTAGTGAAGCCTACCTCAGGTATGCATCTGACTGGGTCACATTAAAAGGTACCTGGGAGGGGCGCCTGGGTGGCGCAGTCGGTTAAGCGTCCGACTTCAGCCAGGTCACGATCTCGCGGTCCGGGAGTTCGAGCCCTGCGTCGGGCTCTGGGCTGATGGCTCAGAGCCTGGAGCCTGTTTCCGATTCTGTGTCTCCCTCTCTCTCTGCTCCTCCCCCGTTCATGCTCTGTCTCTCTCTGTCCCAAAAATAAATAAACGTTGAAAAAAAAAAAATTTAAAAGGTACCTGGGAAATTATTAACAATATCATGGCATAGCATTCATATCGTGTTTTCAAAGAATAAAAGTGCTCTCTAGTGTTTTACTTTGTCCTCAAACTATTCCTGTGAACAGTGTAGCACAGGCATTTTATCCCCTTTTTCTAGACAGTGAAACTCACACAAAAAGGCTAATTGGCTTATCCCCCTTAATTATAATTATCCCCGTTATCAGTGAATAGAACGCAGACCATCTCCTGACCATGGACTAAATATTTTTTTTTCCTGTAAAAATATATATGTCAACAATCCATAATTCTGGATTCCTTATTAAAAAACAAATGCTTGGGGGCCTGGGTGGCTCAGTCGCTTAAGCGTCTTTTCAGCTCCGGTCGCGATCTCGTGGTCTTGTGGGTTGGAGCTCCACATCGGGCTCTGCATTGATGGGGCAGAGCCTGCTTGGGATTCTGTCTCTCCCTCTCTCTCTCTTGCCCTAAAAAAATAAACATGTAAACTAAAAACTAAAAAAAAAATTAAAAAACAAATGCTTTTCTCAAAACAAAAAGTCACTTTGAGGGGTTCATAATGGTCTCTTTGATCATGAGAGGGGAAGGAAACACATATTGAAGGCTATAGCATTCTACGTTGTTTAAACCAGAGTAGTAGGAGTACAGGAGAACCTGTGATCCAAATGAGGTGCCCGGTGTGAGTCTTAACCCGTTACTTTGTTTTCCACGTCACACTCGGGACCACAGGCCTAATTCTGCTTTTTCTTTCCACTTGCTGCCCACAGGCTGGTACCAAAAACATTCGTTACCTCTCCTTTCCCTATGGCCACCCTCAGCCGGCAGGAAGAGACACGAGGGTTGCTGAACTCACAGGTAATCTGCCTGCCTGGCTCTTCTTCCTCTTTTCCTGTAAAGGGTCAGAGGGCAGATATTTGGGGGCTTGTGGGCCCAAAAGCAAACCCGAGAATATCACGTAGGTACTTACATGACGAGAAAAAGAGAAAACAACGTTTTCATTAAATCTAATTCAGAACTTGATGTATGAACATTGAAATTTGAATTTCACGTAATTTTTCCCTGACATAATATATTCTTTTAATTTTTTTTCAGCCATTTAAAAATGTAGCAACTGGGGCGCCTGGGTGGCGCAGTCGGTTAAGCGTCCGACTTCAGCCAGGTCACGATCTCGCGGTCCGTGAGTTCGAGCCCCGCGTCAGGCTCTGGGCTGATGGCTCGGAGCCTGGAGCCTGTTTCAGATTCTGTGTCTCCCTCTCTCTCTGCCCCTCCCCTGTTCATGCTCTGTCTCTCTCTGTCCCAAAAATGGATGAACGTTGAAAAAAAAAAATAATAATAAAAAATAAAAAATAAAAAAAATAAAAATGTAGCAACTATTCTTAGCTCACAGGCCATAGGAAAAGAGTTACAGGCTGGGTATAGCTTAGGGGTCATAATTTGCTGATGTAAATGGGCACTTTTTTGAAATATTTGGGGTTCACCCAAGGTTTAAAAGTTAGCAAGATTCTCCAAAGTTGGTTAGATTTTACTAAAATGATTTCATAAATAAATAAATAAATAAATAAATAAAATGATTTACCAAATTTACTGATTAAATGTTTCCAATTTAATATCTAATTCTTAAGTAGAATTCTTAGATTTATTGAAACTGCCTTTTGTTCTAGTAAAAGCCATTATTATTTTTCAAATGTATATATAAAATAATTTTTCTATTAGCAAAAGGTGATATGTAATATATAATATGCCATATTATCTATTTTAATTTTTTTCAAATTTTTAAGACAAAAATACATTGGAAATTCAAATAAACTAAACTCAGGATTTTGGAATTAAATCTTTGAAGAGTGAATATAATTATTCTTTAAAATGGAACTTTATTTACTTCTGATTTAAAAATGTAAAAAAAAAATAAAATAAAATAAAACTAATAAAATAAAATAACTAAATCAGTAGATATAAAATAACATAAAATAAAAACTAATATTAGATATAAAATAAAAACTAATCAGTAGATAAAAAGCATAAAATAAGAAAGTTAAAAGCACGTGAAACCCCAATACCAAGATATAATTACTATAGAACATTTTGGTAAACATTCTTCTATAATTCTCTCTGCACTATCCTAATCCCTATCCCACCTGTATCTGATATAAGAAAGAAAAAAAAAAAACACCCAGCATCATCAAAATCATAGTATCATCATTGTTTTGGAATTTTTATAAATTGTCTAGTTTATTCAACCATCTACTGTGGACATATTTCCATGTCAATATATATAATGTTAATAATCACTTTTATGATTGAATAATAGCTAATTATATAAAATAATCTTAGCTTATTTCGCTAAATGCTTATTAACAAATATTAAGGTATTATGACTTTTTATAGAATGTAAGCAATGATATTTATTTAATAAGCACCTTGGCTCACTTGTGAATCACTTTGTGATTTTTGCACAAATGATTATTCCCTTAGTGTGTTTTCTTGGAACCAAGATTTGGGGGTCAAAAATGAAATACATTTAAATTTACTCTCACAACAGTCTGTGAGAAAGGTTGCTTTCAATCATTTTAACCATCACTGGGCTATTGTCAAACTTTTGAGTAATCTATGATGGAATAAGATAACATTTTTATATCATATTAATTTTAATCTGAGTCTGATTTTTAGTGAGGTTGAACATCTTTCACATTCTTGGAAGCAGCTATTACTTCTTGGGAAGTTTCTGTTTCTGCCTTTGGCCACTTTTTTTTTTTTTTTTTTTTTTTTGGTCTATTCCGTTGTTTGTTTTCTTACAATGAACTGGAAGAACACTGTATAACAAGGATATCATCCATTGTCTCATATTTTTGCTAATGGTTTCTCTTCCAGTTTCACATTTATCTTTTAGTTTTTAGATATACTTGCCATCAGATATGCATTCTGATTAGTCAAGCCTGCTCAGTCTTCCACAGAAAAATTAGAATACGATTTACCCAATGTTTTTCCCTAGAACTTTAATAGTTTAATTATCCCCTTTATATCTCAAACCCTCTGAGACTTCTCTTTGCATAGATTTAGACACACACACACTTCAGATTGTTTTTCAGTGGCCATGCACCTGTCCCAAACCCATCTTTTCCTCCAAGAGGAGATGCTACCTTTGCTGTGCTACAGTCATTTATCTTGAGAGAGTTTTGGACTCCAGTTGTGTTTCATTGATCTAGCCATCTATTCCTAGATCACACTCTTGGAACTAGTGTCATTTTATGTCATAAAAGAGCTAATCCACAAACAAAAGCAAATGAACAAACAAAAGAGCACCATTGTAGGGTTTATAATAATTAATTTCTTTTTTTTTTTTAATTTTTTTTTTCAACGTTTATTTATTTTTGGGACAGAGAGAGACAGAGCATGAACGGGGGAGGAGCAGAGAGAGTGGGAGACACAGAATCGGAAACAGGCTCCAGGCTCTGAGCCATCAGCCCAGAGCCTGACGCAGGGCTCGAACTCACGGACCGCGAGATCGTGACCTGGCTGAAGTCGGACGCTTAACCGACTGCGCCACCCAGGCGCCCCTATAATAATTAATTTCTAAAAACCTTCCTGCTACAAGTAATCTGCTGCTATTTACATTGCTTGAATGAATAGAAAATGTGAAATTCTCATGGTCATTTCTTATGATGTCGTTTCAATATCACATGCTCCCATAGCAGGAGATTACCACATAGCAAACTCACATGAGCACACATGTGCAAATCTTAAGTAAAGCATTATAAATAAAATATGGCAGGACATTAAAGAAATACTACACCTTACAAAGTGGGATTCATTCCAGAAGTGGAGGCTGTTTAACATTTGGAAATGTGTTTACGTTACTCATCAAATGACTAGGTCAAAGGATTCTATTCTTCAGATAGATGCCTTAAAAGGCATCTCACTCTTATTTTCTGTAAACATAATAAAACCCTAGGAAAATATATATAGGACTTATATGAAGAAAACATAAAAGTCCACTTCTCCATTTCCTCTCTGTAAAGGGGTGAATATTGGTACCTCCCACATACAACAGTTCTGCTTCAAGCTGAAGCCAGACAATGCATGCAAAACTCTTAGAACAGTGCCTGGAACCAAGTAAATATTCAGGAAATATTAGCCATTGACAATTAATACTATTGAAGAACATCAAAGAAGGCTTGACATGGGTAGATAGAGGTATTCTTGGAAAGAAAAGACAACACTTCAGAAACGTTGGTTCTACGTGAATTAAACTAGGCATGGAATGAAGTCTTAGTCCCAATGCACTTTTTTTCTTTCAAATGTGCATAACTGGTTCAAAATTTTATTAGGTTATCAAAAAATAGTTGTTAACAGGGGTGCCTGGGTGGCTCAGTCGGTTAAGCATCCAACTTCGGCTCAGGTCATGATCTCACGGTTCATGGGTTCGAGCCCCGCGTCAGGATCTGTGCTGACATCTCGGAGCCTGGAGCCTGCTTCAGATTCTGTGTCTCCCTCTCTCTGTGGTCCTCCCCTGCTCACACGCTGTCTCTCTCTCAAAAATAAATAATAAAGATTTAAAAAAAAATTTTTTTAAATAGTTGTTCACCTAGAGATATGAGAAGAGTAAGTAATGAAGTCAAACTTATTTTTTTATTTCATTAAGTTTTTAATTTTAATTCCAGTATAACTAACATACACTATTATTAGTTTCAAGTGCATGATATAGTGATTCAATAAGTCTATACATGACTCAGTGCTCTTTAAGATATGTGTACTCTTAATCCTTTTCACCTTTTTCACCCATTCTTCCACCCACCTCCCTTCTGGTACCCATCAGTTTGTTCTCTATAACTAAGAGTCTGCTTCTTGGTTTCTCTCTCTTTTTTTCCTTTGTTAATTTGTTTTGTTTCTCAATTTCCACATACGAGTGAATCATAAAGGATTTGAATATTCCATTGCGTGTATATACACCACATCTTCTTTATCCATTCATCAATCGATGGTCACTTGGGCTGCTTCCATAGTTTGGCTATTGTAAATAACATTGCAGTAAACATAGGGGTGCGTACATCCTTTCAAAGTGGCACTTATTTGATCACTTATCCCTAATAAGTTTTCAAGAATTATAATAATCAGGGTTAGACTGAGATAGTTCTTAATGTGTCTCCGGGCACAATTATTTGAATCCACATTCTCCCCAAATTTGAAGTCCTTCTGCACCTGGACAAGTCAAGGAATGGCCAGAGGGCCTCTAGGGGAGAACACGGAGGGAGTGTTGGCATCCAGCAGGCAGTCCCTGACTAACCAGGCTGTGACTTGGGGAGCATTTGCCTTCCTCACTGTCCCCTGCTCTCCAGTGTTGGAGCATTCCTTACTCTAAATGTCTGGGGGCTCCACATACTCTTGCAATGCTCTTTTTCAAGGAGCCGAGGCTCACTTGGTGTTATAAGCAGAGATGGCCTTCCTAGACACCCCTCCTCTGCTCTGAGACAGCTTACAATCCATGTGGATTGGGAAAAAATGAAGACGGTGGTATTGACTGCATAACTCTGTGAATGTACTTGATGCCACAGAACTGGATGCTTCAAAATGGTTACAATGGGGGGGAAAGATTAAAATGGTAAATTGTAAAGTACCATTATTATTTTTTTTTTCCAACGTTTTTATTTATTTTTGGGACAGAGAGAGACAGAGCATGAACGGGGGAGGGGCAGAGAGAGAGGGAGACACAGAATCGGAAACAGGCTCCAGGCTCCGAGCCATCAGCCCAGAGCCTGACGCGGGGCTCGAACTCACGGACCGCGAGATCGTGACCTGGCTGAAGTCGGACGCTCAACCGACTGCACCACCCAGGCGCCCCTAAAGTACCATTATTAATTAAACAGAATTAAAACAAAACCATGAGGAGAGGCAAGAGAGGGGGCTATACCCCAGATCCGGGTCTCTAAAGAGCACACATTGTATGAGGTAGTCCAGTGTCAACCCCTGGGTATCAGGCTCTGCCTTGCCCTATGCAGAAGCACTGTTCTGCTTCTCCTTCACCTTGCCCCCGGGTGCCCAAGTCCAAATGTTAAAATGCAAGATAAAATAACAGATACGCAGATTTTGCTGCAAGGTCTCCATTGATCTCTCCCTGGAACTGCCGGCCTGAGTGCTGACCTGTGGGAGGTTGTGCAGTTGGGACAGAGCCCAGCCCCCACTCTTCCTCCTTCCTCTTCCACTTTCAGCTGCCCTCTTCCTCCCCTTTTGGACAGATCTACTGACTTGAGATGAGTGGAATCTTGCAAGTCACCTGCTCAAAACCCTTCTCAGTGCTTGGAACCCACTTTTCTTTTTTTTTTTTTTTTTTAATTTTTTTCAACATTTATTTACTTTTGAGACAGAGAGAGACAGAGCATGAATGGGGGAGGGTCAGAGAGAGGGAGACACAGAATCTGAAACAGGCTCCAGGCTCTGAGCTGTCAGCACAGAGCCCGACGCGGGGCTCGAATTCACGGACCGCGAGATCATGACCTGAGCCGAAGTCGGCCGCTTAACCGACTGCGCCACCCAGGCACCCTGGAACCCACTTTTCAATAAGCAGAGGTGGTCAGGAAGCATCGGCTATGATCTTTGGGCTGAGGGGAGCATACACTCAGAAGGAGGGGTTGGAAACCAGGACAGGGCAGATGAAAGTGAGCCAAAGAACTGCTCTTGAGGGCAGAAGCATCCAGGCCATTGTTTTCTTAAGTAATATTCCAAGCAGCAAAGAATCAAGAGGAACTCGTGTTCCAGGCCAGATGGTAGAGCACAAATTAAAGGGAAGTAATAAAAAAAATGGACAAATACACTTAACTAATTTTTTTTTTTTTTTTAATTCAAAGCAGTTGATTCCTGTCCCCTATCCCCCTCAACTTCCAGGCTACCTTCTCAGGATAATTCAATCACATTTAGAAAAACATCAATTGAACAGGTTTTTTTAAATTTTTCCGATGACTAAATACCTTTTGTCATGTGTAAACCTCTGAGCATATTACTGTGGGGTTCTTCTTTTGTGTTGTGTTTTGTTTTTTTAGGAGGGAATGGAGAGTGGGGCAAAGAACCCTGCTTTCAGATTTAAAGTTCTTAAAATACTTAGAGTCTCGAGAGAATATTTAAAGGAAAGACAGGGGCGCCTGGGTGGCGCAGTCGGTTAAGCGTCCGACTTCGGCCAGGTCACGATCTCGCGGTCCGTGAGTTCGAGCCCCGCGTCGGACTCTGGGCCTATGGCTCAGAGCCTGGAGCCTGTTTCCGATTCTGTGTCTCCCTCTCTCTCTGCCCCTCGCCCGTTCATGCTCTGTCTCTCTCTGTCCCAAAAATAAATAAAAAACGTTGAAAAAAAAATTAAAAAAAAAAAATAAAGGAAAGACAAGTTTATAAGGTTACAACTTGAGGAAATGAGAATCAACGAGATTTGTGAAAAATACTCCCTTGAAGATGGGTGCACAGGGAAATAGGGAAAAGGCAATGTCCTAGGCATCGAGGAGGCCCTTCGGAAGGTCATCGGAGAGGGGATGTCATGTAGATACCCAATGGCTTCCCTCCGCTCTTGGTGTACCCTTCCGACCCGCATAGGGCATGTATCAGGGAGCCAGGCACAGCCTGGCAGAGAGCAGATGCACAGTGGGACAGACTCTGTGCACACGGCAGTCCCATCTTCTTCACTGTGTGATACTGAAAGTCATTTAACATCGCGAAACCTCAGCCGCTTTACCTCTGAAATAAGGATGCTAAATTCACTCATCTCCAACAAATACGATAAGGACTAAATGGCACAACAGATGTAAAGTGGTTAGCACAATGACAGGTGCATGATGAGTTCTCAATACATGGACATTCCTACCACTGTCGTTGCTGTCACGTGCCAGTGGAAATCTGTGCACCCTCTTACCTCTCTTGAAAGGAGGACATCTAATCACTCTTGTTGTGCCACACATGACTCTCTGCTGTGGCTCTCTGCTCTCCCTGTTCCATGATTGGCTATTTCAAGGTCAAAGGGATGAAACTCAGATCTCATGCTTTCCGGTAAGCACTGATTAAAAAACAAACCAACCGTTTAGAAGCTCATGGGTGACTCAGTTGGTTAGGTGGCTGTCTCTTGGTTTGGGCTCAGATCATAATCTCATGGTTCATGAGTTTGAGCCTCCGTGCTGACAGTGCAGAGCCTGGTTGGGATTCTCTCTCTCCCTGCCCCTGCCCCTGCTCGATCTCTCACTCTCTCTCTCTGTGTCTCTAGAAATAAAGAAATAAACTTAAAAAAATTTTTCATATCATTGTTAGCCATGGAACCTTCGGTTTAGTGTTGGTCTTTGACAGTGCAATGCATCTTTGCGCCTACTGGCCACTTGATCTGCTTTTGTAAAAAAAAAAAAAAAAACTCTCTTACTTACCTGCAGGAGTCTAGCCTGATACACAGGTTTCCAGGCATTTCTATTTATTTATAACACGGCCCACAACAGGGCTTCTTTTGGGTGCCCTCCTTGGGGCAGAGAAGATCAGCCAGGTGAATGTGAGAGTTAGAACATCAAGAAGGACTCTTCTTCACTCTGAGTTCTTGCCATGCAGATATGAAGTCTTCTCTCGGATCTTAAGTTGTGTTCTTTCCTCCTCTTGTCATATTTTCCTAGACAATGACAGCAGCGATTCAGAACTCCCATCCATCATGTTCAAGGCACACTCTCGAGCAGGGATACTTCAGGAAAGACGGCTGACGCAAGAGATAATCCCAATGAAGAGCTTACCCAGAGGAGGGAAACCATCCCACTTCGGTTATCAGAGAAACACCAGCCAAGAAGAGCATGATGGCAGGGGCAGAAGGGAGGCGCTACGGCCCAAACCGCTGTTCCACGCGGTAGATGAGGAGTTTGAATCTGGAGAGGAGAGTGGAGAGGAGACCTCAGCAATCAGATCCAGATGGTCGGGGGAGCACAGACCCACTAGGCAACATCACAGGTCCCACAGTCCTTTGCTCCAAAGAAAATAGTTTCATCATCCACACAGTAGTCTCCATGTATTTCAAGAGTCCATTTTCCTATTGTTGTGGAAGAAGGAGTTTCAGAGTTACGAAGAGAGCTACTGAGTTTATTTTTTGGAGCCTATGAGCCATACATCTATAAGAGGCACGGAGATTTTTTTTTGGAGAAAAACGTGGAACAAACTTGCAGGCTCTGCTGTATTCTTAGCTGGTGTACTTTGTAGATGAAGTCCCCAAGGGTGATAAATGTTAATCATCACAGGAATTAATACTAAAATTCCTAAAAGTCTGTGATCCATGAACTGTATTGTGATACAAGTATGACTGGTCAGTAATTCACCTTAACTGTATGCCTGTGCAGCTTATAATCAAGTTATAACTGGGAAAGGCCTGGGAAATCATCTGGCCCAACCCTCTGTGTTTACAAATAAGGACCTAAGGACACCTTTCCCAAGGTCGTGTGGTGAGTTGCTGCTTTCACAAGCTGGTTGTCCTCCCTCCCAAGAGAATGTATTCAGTTTTGATTTTGATATGCACTATGCGATAATTATTTTTCTGGGGAAAGGTAAAATTTGCCATAACGATGCTATATTTAATCAGTAGCAATAATAGACAGATGTGATATGTAGTAGTGGATTAATTTGTGAACAATGGGCTTGTAATCTATTTTATACCTGGAATATTTATTTTAAAAACAAAATAGCCATAAACAGGATGTAATAGCAACGACACGAACAACAGGTATTTATTAAATGTGCATTTGTAGGCTGCGGTACTGTGCCCTAGATTTTGAAACTCTTTCCCCGTTTAATTTCCATCAGGAAATTAAATCATTCCCCCAGACTTGACCTTGAACCTCTCACACTCCAGCTCACTGACTTTGCTAGATGACTTTATCTTTCTTCCCTTCTTGCCCTCTCTTCCTCTTTTCTCTCTGGTGGCCACCGATAGATGAACACATATTTATTAAGTGCTATTTATTGTGCCAAGTGGCTGATCTATAACAATTAACCATAATATCCTTTATCATTACTATTTTTGACTTCTCTAGCCATCCCCAACTGATTCAATCCCATGCATCTTTCAAGGTTGTTTTCCAATGCACCCGGCTGCCTAGACCAGCTTTGATCCCCTTAATCAGAAGCAATGAAGTGATCCCCTTCCTCCTGGCTGTGCCCACACCGCACTGGGTGTGTCACAGAACTTATCTGGTAATTACACTTATACACGTGTGTGTAACTACCCAGGTCTGCAGGACAGGGAGGATAGTCTGTCCATTTTAAACTTTATCCATTCATCAGTTGTGTTTCTTATCTCTTGGCCTTACCCTTTTTCAAGTTTTGTTTTTTGTTTTTTTGCGGGTTTTTTTTTTTTTTAGCTTTTATCCATTTTTTGTCTTAGTTGTTACAGTGCCTTGTTCATGGTAGATCGTCTATAAATGTTGGGGCAACAGTGCCCTTTTTTTACAGCTGAAAAGGAGGTCGGAGAAGATATGGTCAGACGTTCTTATTTTCCAGGTTACAAAGATGAAGTGTTGAGAAACTGGCTGGTGCCGCTTCAGGGGTTTAAAGGGTGTGGGCTTATTCTCTAGTGTAATCCGTGGACACCATTGCCTGACAAAGGATATACGGCCTTCCCTGGACTTATAGTTTGTGAAGGGCATTTAACTGCCAGTGGTCACTGCTGTAGTGGTAGAAATGCCATTCAAAAGAGCCCACTTGTTTCTCCTTTTCTGAATCTGAAATATAAGCCTGCTTCTAAGTTGTCTCAATGTTTTAAATTATCTACTACCAGATAGTAGTAATCCGCCCAAAGGGACAGAAGTATTTATAAAACTCAGGGATCGCTGGGTTTGGTTTTTTGTTTCTTGTTTTTGTTTTTCGTTTTTGTTTTCCCATTATTGCTTAAACAAACAAGCAGGCAAAGCAACGGAAAAACCTTATGACCCATGAGAGGGAGTCATGGAGTCGTTATCCTCACACTATAGATGAAGATACAGTGACAGAACGGTGGCGTCAGAAATCACCTTTACAAAGCCATGTGCAAAGCCAATTCCTGCGAGGTAGAGAACACTGTATTCCTTGCTGGATTCTCCATATAACAAAAGAAATCCAAACTGTGAAGGCCCCTTCCCAGAGCAGACAGCAAAGTCTAAGGATTAGTGGAATTATCTGATTCTTCCGTTTTTCTCTGAGATGCTGGTGCCCTGTGGGAGAGGGATGGTGGGACTTAGTGAATAGAAGGGAACTTGCCCTTTTAATTGGTAGAAGCCAAAATGAGTCATTTGCCCCGAGGCCGTCAGTTCATCTAGACAGCATCTGGCCCTCGCTGCCTGAGTCTAGAAATTGGCCCTGGAACGCCTTCCCGAAACGTATCGTAGGTTGAGGGCCCTTGTGGTCCTGGTGGCTCTGGTAGCTTGGAGAGCTCATGGTGGACATGGCCTCTTTGCTTAGTCACCCAGGATCGTTTCAAAATGCAGTGTGATCTGATCTTCATTTCCTGGCGACAGCCCATGCTGGGGTTTGGTTGAGCGTGTGATAGGTGCCCCAAAAATGCTCTTGGGTATCAGTTTCACATCATGAATTTTTCCAACAGGCACCAAGCCGCGCAGCAGAGAAAGTTCCCTCTGGAGTGCTGAGGGAGCTCTGCTGCTTACTCCCGACTCAGCTCGGGGAGAGGTTGGAGTCCCTCAGAGGGGCTCTCCTGGGCCTGGCCGCTGGTCCACTGAGCCTCGCAGTTTGCCCTCTTATCTTCAACCTCGGAGAAGCCAACACACAACCCCAGAATCCTATTTTCCCTCCATAAGTTTTTTTTTTTTTCTTTTTTTTCTTACTTTCTCAAACCTGCTCCTATTGTGTGCCTCAGTGGTCTTTAGGTTTCAGTAACTTCCGAAATAGGGTAAAGTCGCATTTCCTTTCATGTATCCTATATGGCAGCTTTCTACCTGAAAGGTTTTCCACATGTTTGCTGGTGTTTGGGATGTGGCAGATATGTTTATTCACCCTGCCCAAACCTGACATGATGCCATGGGACCTCCCCGGTCTTTATCAGCCTCCTACCAGAGAAACAAACATTGGCTGTAGATGGGAATGCGCCATGGTCGAGTAGTGATGACATTCCAGACACTTTGTCGTGCTTCCCTGCATGCTTTTGCCTCTCTTTCATGAAGGCCATATACTTTTGTGCTTCTCTTCTTAGAAAAAGTTAAAGGGTCATGGGAAGTAGGTCTGGAAATGCCACCGGAATTCAGTGATAGAATTATCATTCCTATATGTAAGAAGTGACTACTACTGCTCGGCTCTTTAGCCTACCATTTTGGTTTCAGCCTGCAGGGAAGCTTCTAGAACACTTCCTTGCCTATCTGGATGCCTGCCACTGAGATCATTTCGATTTTTAAATCAGTGTAGTTCAGAGCTCAGGCTCTGAAGTCAGACCACTTTTAGCTGTGGGGCTGTGGGCAGCCTGGTTATCTTCCCTAAGCTGAAATGTACTGATTGATAAATAAGGTGATAATCTTATCTACCTCAGAGAATGATCATGAGGGTCAAATGAGATAGTATTTGTAAAATTCTTAGCTTAGTGCTTGTTTTGTAGGAAGAGCTTGATCACTAACAGCTATGCTAATTTAGGCCAAAATGTATGTACTCGTGCGTGACAGGGGACATACATTCAATTAATTACATAAAGAGGTATAAATAATGGACACCTGAGACTTTTCTGAGAAGTAGTTTGAATGACATTATAGAGGATATTTGGGGCTATCCATCAATCAAGAGCAAAACCAGAGATCAGATCTGGATATGGATTCATGGTTTTCCGGCAAAGCTTATTGAATTTTTTTGTCATTACCTCAAAATTATTGTGTTTTCTTGTTTGGAGGATGGTTACCATGGTGTCCAATCCAAATCGCGGTTTATCCTCAAAGAGACAGTGAATTTAGAAGACCTACCTCTGTTTATCATGACAGGCACCCTGTGCAAAAAGGAAAAATTGCTCTTTGTCGGGGAAACATTCAATGCGGTTTAATTCCTCAGCTTGGAGTCTTTTCCATAAGAGACCTCCTCTCCGAAGGAGTGATTATTTGAACTTATAAATATTAACTAGTTAAATAAGTGTTTAAGGATTTTCAGCATGGAAAAAAGTAGTTTCTGTTACGTTTGATAACTTTCTGAAATTAGGGAGAGTAGTTGTTTTGTTTTTCTCTTTATAAATAAAGTCAGTGAGTGTGTTGGTGTTATCTAGAATTTTTGCAAATATATTTCATGTATGAGTAATACAGGTGGTTTCTTGTAGTTTTAATTTTTTTTTTTTTTTCATGACTAAACTCTGTCAAGTTTCCTATTTGTAACTCCTCCTGAGAAAAGCCAGTAGTGCAGACAGAAAGCTTCCTTTTAGGACATCAGTCACTGCTAATTGTTAATTGGGCCATAAGCCGAAGGGAATAAAAGAGATGCCTGGATCAGCGCTAGTCACTTCTGTAATTAACAAGTGATATGTTGTTTCTCTGCGCACGATATTTGATTGAATAAATTCTTTTTCTTTCTGAGAGTCTAACCAGCTTCTGAGCCCAGGGTGCTCAAAGTGAGTATGATGGGTTTGAAATCGAAATTTCCATTGCCCAACCTTCTTCCGGTTAGGGCTTATTCAACAAAGTAATCGGAGCCACGTTGTAAACTGAACCAAGACAGTCACTACTCTGTTTCCAGACATAGTGATACAGATCTTGAATTAAAATGGGTGGTCCTAAAATCAAGGTATATACCCTGTGTTCTAAGAGATCAGTCTTGAATAGAACAGTAATAATAGCCTATATTCATAGAGTGCTTACTGTACTTCAGGTAGTATTCAAAGTACTTTACCTACATAGATGCAGTGTCGT